CATAGAAACATTGAAGAACTCGTCCGAACGCAATCAACTCGTACAGGATCTCAAGAGTCCTCTTAACTAACTCTTTTGCTTTCCACTGCTCGATAGTCACTCACGATGAGCCCATAAAGTTAAACACGAACATCTACCCACGTCAAACACGAGCATATACCCATGTCCTGTCGACCCAAAATGCGTCTTTAGGTAACGATGATCAGGTCACGTTACTCACTTCCCTCAATTCAGCGTCAACTATAATAGACAGCCGGTTGTAATTTGGTGAAAATAGAATAACCCAAGGAATACTCATCCGATCGTATGAAAACACACTAAATCCCCTACTTACCACACTCAGACAGTTCTCACTAAACATGACGATTTTGCTGGATAGCAAAGTCCATACACCTGCAAAATAGGGTACACCATGTGGTTCTGGATAACTTTTGCACCCCCTCCCCTCCATCTTCCTGAGGCACTGTTCACAGTCTGCGGCCCAGCGTTTCCCTAGAAAACGCTCCAGCGAAACGGTTTTGATACGTATCGACGGGCGGTTCGGCGAAGCGGTTGGGCGAAAAACGCTAGCCCGACCACCCTGGCGTTTTTCTCTAGGGCGGAGCCTGCGAAATCGATACGCATCTATTGCTTTTCGCCCAACCGCTGAACCGCGGCGGTTCGTCGAACGGGGCGGTTGGCGATTCTCCGATCAATGAGTATTTTTTGCTTTTCGCCGAACCGCCGTTTCGTCAGGGTCTCAGACTGTGAGCAATGCCTGACCCTTCCCAAAATTTCGGCTTCGAGCGGGTGGTGGAAATGCGAGGAGAGGGGAGTAGACACCTCCGGTCAACTGTATAGCAGTTTTGCATCACCGCCAAATGGGTATGTTACAGCAAAATACGACCCCACTCTCTTCAGCGGCCAGAAACCACCACCCCTCCCCCTCCGTTGTGTTTCACACAACGGGTGGTGAACTCCAGAACATAAATCAGGTTACCACGCAAACGACTGGTCAGAGGCGTCCGTTGGGTGGTCATGTTGCCTAATTGGAGGCGAAGTCCGACGAAAAAACTGCGATCGATTCTTGGCTACGACACGAGAACAAAGATCGAAGTACACCTTCATCAACTCGATCTGTACTCGAATAAATAATTAGGTTCCGCTGGGATAATATGGGACATTTTTGTCATTCTGTGTCAACACATCA